TTGTATGTGAGTGTGTGTCCTGTTTTTTTTAAGCATTTTGATTTGCTTTTATCTTTGACCAATGTCTGGCCCCTCTGTGAGGTTGTTGTGCAACCAGCATCACTAGCTCCTGCTTCCGCCTCTCTCTGTATTTCACTTATTTCATGGCTTCTGGCAGTTGTGATGCAGGCTGGCATAACAAAGACAGCAGCTATGCCAAGTGTGGCAGCCAGCAAGTTTCACTGATGCCAGGGGAATGGATTACAGGAAACATTTATTTGAATGGGAGATGCAGTTTCTACTTTAAGTATGAAAAATATCATGGTTTTCTAAGGCTGTTTAGTTCATGCTTTTTGCAAGCTGCTTGTAACAGAATAAGGTACTCAAGCAAGGTTAAATTCTTTAAGGAGTTAAAAAAGGGCCAAGGCAACAGCAATTTTTTTAAAATGAGGATTTCACATGATGATTAATAGTTTTTGTGATAATTTGGCATGGCTAACGATGTATACAGATGCACTGTGACAGGTCTGACCTTTTCTGCTGTAGGAAGACAAATCTTTTTTCTTGTGTCTTATTTTCTTTTTTTTAATTTGTTTTTGTGTCTGTGCGCCAGTCTGAATAGGCAGTGCCTGGGTTCCTTCTGGTGCTGGTGCAGAAATGCAGCCACACCATTCCTGAAAATCATCTCCTCAGAAGGTAAGATTGTGATAATTAAGAGCAGTGCATTAACTTTCCAAGTAGGACATTTGTAGCACTTGGAGAAACAGGTTTTTTTTTAAATCTCTGATTCACATGTTAAAAATCAACAAGAAAGATGGAATCAATACTTGCCAGCAACAAGCTTTAAAGCAGCAGATTTTACAGCACCCATGGGTGTTTGCAATGGCTCAGGTAACACTCTGAGACCCTGATTCTGCAAATGTGAAAATAAGGGTGAAAAGTTCCTTTACTGCGTGGGAGGAGGTGAAGGAAAGGTACCCTGGGATCATGGAGCAAAGCTGAGCACATGTCTAAGTGTTTGATGTTTGGAGCCTAAGGAACATCACACTGGGAGTCAGAGTTTCTTTTCTTGGTACTCCCAGCACAGGCAGTGCAAGATGAGAGGGAAAAGGAAACAACATCAGACACTTCAGTGAGGGCCTTAAGGGGTCATCTGTCAGGGACATGGTGCTCTGCAAGGGACAGACTTACACAGATAAATTTAAACCTGCATGAGGTAACTTTAGCAGCTATTCAGTCTTGGATGAAGGAAATAGCACAGGGTTTTTTGCTGTGGTGAGGTGGTCATGATGAAGAAATACACCTGCAGCAGAAAGTGTGTGTTTATATACATAAATTGACCTTTGATATAGGGTTTCTGAAACACTGCAGGATGAGAAAACTAGGAGATAACTAAAGTAAATGTATTCTTTCTTCTTTAATGTAGTCCTGCTGAATGTTTCCCTCAGCTTTCAGATGATCTGTGACTGCTTGGCACCAGGAATACCTTCCCGTGTGTCTGACAGTGCTGCAGGGAAGCACCTGTGTCAGAACTCAGGACACCCCTCTGGCTGTCCAGAGCAGCCAAGACCCCTGCCAGGGGGCTCAGAGACCCTGGCACAGAGCCCAAGGTGCCTGTGGGTTTGATTATGACCCATGGAGCAAGTTACCAACCTTATATGAAGATCTGCAAGCCACGACAAATTAAGTAGAATGATAGTGAATTTATCACGGAGTGGAAAAGTAGATTTGGGGGTTTTTAGAATGGGGATTCAGGAGGCAAGATGGAGGGATCTGGGCATGTCCAGCCTTTCTCCTTCTTCTTCTTGGCCTTCATCTTCTGCTGTGATGTTGGCATTTTTAGATTGGTTTAGAGTAGAAGCTCACTGTCTAACATTGGTGATAGGTATTGGAAAGTAATTATAAACATTGTATATATAGTTTTTAGTATAAAGACATAACACTGCCCCAGGGCAGGCAGAGTGCCTGGAACTGTCCTGGTGGATGGACCTTGGCAGGACAGGAGAAAGAATTAAAGAATTTTACAGATAAGAAACAATAAACAACCTTGAGACTGAGAAATGAAGAGCCCTGACTCCTTCTTCAAGCGCCAGGCTGGGAAAAGAGACTTTTGAACATTTCTCGGGGTCACTCTGACAAGCTAGAGGCCCCGAGACATCTGTGTACACTGCCCAGGCTGGGGCTGCAGAGGGGTCCAGCCACCTCTCTGGAGCACCTGGAGTAGAAGAGGTTGCTGGGGTGACAGATGAGGACAGCAGGTACAAGGGAGCATCTTTCCCCTCTCTGGCAGGACAAGGGAGAGCTGGGGCCCTGCCAGAGGCCGGGGACAGCAGCTCACAATCACAGAATGGTCAGGCTGGAAGGGAACACAGTGAGTCACAGGTCCAACCTGCCTGGTGGACATGGCACAGGAATGTGTCCAGATGGTTCTGGAGTATCTCCAGTAAGGAGACAGATATTCAGATATCCAGATATTCATCCACACCCTCTCTGGACAATCTGTCCCAGTGCTCAGTCACTGTTCAGGTGGAACTTCCTGGGCATCAGTTCCTGCCCATTCCTCTTGTTCTGTTGCTCAGCATCAATAGAGCCTAGATCCATCCTCTTTATACACTTCTTTCAATATGTATACACATTAATGAGGTCCCCTTAGAGTTATCTCCTTAGAGGCTGAACATCCCCTGCTTCCACAGCCTTTCCTCATTGCAGAGATGCTCCAGTCCCTTCACCTTCTTGGCTGAACATCCCCAGCTCCCACAGCCTTTCCTTATCACAGAGAAGCTCCAGTCCCTTCATCTTCGAGGCTGAACATCCCCAGCTCTCAGAGCCTTTCCTCAACACAGAGATGCTCCAGTCCCTTCATCTTCGCCTCCGCTAGAGCCGCTACAGGAGCTCCACATCTCTCTTGTCTTTCAGAGCCCAGACCTGGACACAGCACCCCAGGGGCGCCTCACCTGGTGTAATCATAGGGGCAGGATCACCTCCCTGACCTGCGGGCACGGCTCTCCCCACAGCCGAGGCTTCGCTCCGCAGGCTCCTCCTCCATGGCGGGAGGGGCCGAGGCCGCCGGGTCCCGGCGCGCAGCTCCGGCGGCGGGCGGCGATCCGCAGCCGCGCCCGGCCCGGCAGGCTGGCAGCCGGAGGAGGAGGAAGACGGGAGGAGGAGGCAGTGGCGGTGCCGGGAGCAGCGGCCCGGGGTAGGTAGTGCGGGCGGCCGCGCACCTGCCGAGCCCGCGGCGGGGGCGGAGCGGGGGCGGCACCAGGGCCGCGGGGCCGCTCGGGAACGGCGGCCGGGCCGGGCCGGGCTGAGGAGCGGCGGCCGCGGGCTCGGGAGTTCTGTCACTCCGCCGCCTTTTGTCTGCTTTTCTCCCGTTTGTTTTTCCCCGGAGCCCCCATCCTGCTAGACGGGAAGGCGCTGCTCGGTTGGGGGGTGGCACCGCGGGGCTGCGGTGGGACAGGGACAGGGACAGAGCCCGGCCGTGCCCTGGCCGTGGGTCCCGGGGGAAGGCGGTGCCTGTCCCTTCCCCGACTCCGCTGCCCTTGACCTTTGGGATGGTTGGAGCCGCCCTGATCGCTCTGCGGGTCCCTAAGCACAGTGAACCTTTCCCTCCCTGTATTAAATAGAAGGAATTTATTCCTTCTCCGCTATTTAAGGCGCCAGGGTGATGGATTTGGCAGCTTCTGGCTCAGGTGCAGAACTGCCGGGTATTAAGCGCAATTTGCATCCGCGTGTGTGCGAGGGCGTTGTGAGCCCTTAAGGGCACCCCGGGGAGGGTTTGGTAACCCGGTGTCTGTACAGACATTGACAGAATTCATCTCAGCCCCGGCAGGACCTTCCCCTGCCTGCCCAGCACAGCTGAGCCCGCCTGTGCCGTGTTTGCAGAGGGAAAAAGCCGCTCCTGCTTTCCTGAAATAGGGAGGAAGGAATGCTTCAGCCGCTGCAGAGAAGGAGCAATAGCAAGTTTGAAAGGTAAATGTGGTTTTAAAGTAAATACGGGAATGGCTTTGTGCACTGAAGTACAGCAAGGAGGAAGTGGAGGGTTGGTTTCGCTGTTGGCAGAAATAGTTGCTGAAAATGAAAGAAGGTAAAACAAGTTTGAGTAATCTAAAGGGACGTTGTCCTTGGGCTTCATCAGTAAAACTGAAATATAAAAAATTGTATTGATGAACTACTGGTTGTATGCTGTAGCTTATTAGTGTAATTTCTGAAGTATAGCTTGGTTTTTAAAATCTGCTTTAATCCCCAATAAAAGGTGAAATTTGCAACCTGCTATCACATATTTTTATTGCCACAAATTTCTTTGCTTATGTGTGATGCCTTGAGAGGCTACCTAGAACAGAGGCTAGACAGTGTTAAAGGAATAAAGTAGGGATTTATAAAAAAGGCCTTCAAAGGATACACCTTGGGCAGTACAAGAGCCTGGCTAAGACTACACCCAAGATGGCCACGAGTTTTCACACTTTTGTAAGTTTTGGTCCATTTCCATATTGGGGTTAATTGTTACAATTACAGCTTCAGGTTATGCAGTCCCATCCTCCCAGATCGATCTCTTCAATTTGCTATATACTTTTTGATATACAATTTTCTATATACTTTTTGATTTACAATTTACTTTGTACTTTTTGGACCTGAAGCTGCAATGGTTCTTGGGTTGGAGGAGAATATTTTTCTCTCAAATCACTTGCTAACACTTTATATAAAATTCTGTACTAGTGCAGTTGAAAGTTAAACCTTAAGGCATCATCTGGAGGATATATTTTATGTTTATTAAAATGCACATGAATGTCAGAGGAACTTAGAAATATGCAGAGACAGAAACAAGTTATTGAGATGTGAATGAGAACTCAGGTGTTGGTGCCTGCAGTACATAAAATGAAATCAACCCCTGTCAAATAGAGTTAGGCTGCAGTTCTCACTGTGCTGCTGATAGTCCAGTCATCTTTGCTGGGAATTACGGGGATGCTTGTGATGGGATTTATCCTGAGGATACACTGCTGGGAGCTGTGTGAGTGCAGTCTGTGCAGCAGGTGCACAGCTGTGCAGTCTGCTGTGACCACTGAGCCCTGAAACCTTCTGTAAGAGGTGTGAAGTCTTTTCCTGCTTGCACTAGAGCTGTTAAATAGTAACCTGCCAAACAATTGCTTTGCTATAATGATGATTGCCCTGTCCTGTTATAATTTCAGAGAACTGTTTAAGGAAGTGTTTGACCTCAGGTGTTTGTTCTTTGCTGGCTTCTTGGGTTTTTTTCCTACTCGGTATTTCTGTCAGCTCACTTGGTGTGGTTGGGGAAATAATTTTGGTGTTTGGAGAGGACTGTGAGAGAGGAGAAATGGGGTTTGGGATCACCCTGAAATGAATCTGTTACTGCTGGAGGAAAACTTCACTCCTGCTGTGAGCTACTTTTGCCAACCTCTTTTCTCCTTACCTTTTTTCTCCCACTCAGAGCTATCTGTGTCTCATTTCAACCAAACACAGATTACTGATGAGAAATAGCTGTTTTGAAATTGGAATTTTGAAATCTGACCTGACTAGCCAGCTGTGGCTGTAAGGGGCAATCCCACTTTTTAATCCTTGTATTTATGCTCCTGCTGCCTTGGATTTATTCTGTGTGGCAGTTTTATGGCTACAGAATGAGTTAATATTCTCTATTGGATCAGCTGCATTTCAGGGCAGGATTTCTGGTGGATCAGGCACCTGAGCCATGGTTGTAGGATGACAAATCTGACAAAAGGAGGGAGGCAGGGATCTTTATCTGGAGTTGGGAGAGGGGAGGAGGAGGTAGGGTTGCACTTTCTCTAACCTCAGCAACCTCAGAGAGCAGATAGGAAACTCGTGTAGGGCGGGAATGATTATGGGGTTTGATTAATTGCACAATCTGATTCAGGGCCAGGGAGGGGGTGGAACATGCCAAACGAGATTAGCAAGTCAATTCACTTTTAGGGTAGGAAGGTGGCAAGCTGAACCCGGACACTGTAGAAAAAAATAGAGGTATGACAAGAATGTGTTAGCATCAAGGAGCAGAGCCTTGATCTTTTGGTGGGATAGTCAGTTATGTAAAGAGGGGGTTGTGTTCATCTGTTCCTGAGGAGGAAGCCTGGGTGGGTGCTGAAGCTTTCAAGTTGCTAACTTGGACCTGGCAGATCCTGTTTGCTGTCACTTACCTGGCTGAGGACGAGCAGCTTTGTAGTAAGATGGGGCAGTGAAGATGAGAGGAGAGTCTCACACCTTCACCTGCCCTGTGGCAGCCTCTGAAATTCCCAGGTGAACACCAGCTGTGGGTTTGGCAGTTGTGCTTTCATTCTTTCACTCACCTCCTGTTGTTTACCAGGAGAGCTCATGCTGAATCCTACCAGCTTTCCATCAGGAGCATGGCAGTGGCTTGGGCTGGCATTAAAGAGGGCTGTCAGGAGGGTTGTGGGGTCCTGGGGGCTACCAGGGGGGTTGTGGGGTCCTAGAGGGCTATCAAAGGGGTTGTGGGGTCCTGGAGTGTCCCTGGATCCTGTTGGGTTTGCTGTGTGAGTTGTGGTCACACCTTTTGCCTACAGCTCCTTTGGCCACTTGACTCTGCACCTGAACTGCAGCCAGTTCTGTTGCAGCACCTGGAATAAAATCTGTGAGTTTTATTGTCCAGGGCCTTCAGCCCCTGTTGGAACAAACAGGAGGGACTTTTGTGAGAGTTTAAACCAAACCACCACAGTCTCGCTGTTCTCTGTATTCTGAGGACACAAGTGGTCCTGCCTTTTGCTGGTGTAGGGAGCTCAGGTGGTGAAAAAACTTGTTTCTTCCTTTTCCAAGGCTTTCTGATGATGTGGAGCTGTGTTCAGTGCTGATACTGGGTCAGGGAAATGGAAGAGGGAGTGCTGCTCAAGCCTTGCTGGCAGCATTGTTCAGCAGCACCCACTCTCAAGCTGGAGGAGTCTCTCATTCCAGGCTGGAAACACTACAGCCGTTCTTGAGTAAATTGCAAGCTCATAAATGTTCCTGATGTGCTCAAACAGATCTTTGTGAGCTGAGGAGTTGCCTGTTCATAGTCATTCTGGGACAGAAGCTGAGTGTTCTGATATAAGCTGGCTTTGGTTCAAGTTCTGAGTGCATCTTTCCTTTGTGTCTCCACTGCTTTGTACCATGCCAAGCTCTCAAAATAAATTATAAATTAGAAAAATCAGAGAAGGCTGAAATTTATATAGGCTTAAAATTCTCCACTGCATTTTTAATGTGAAGTTTAGTGGTGTGAATTACTTATCTCTGAAATGGATAATTGCTGATTCAAATGTTATGATTAGAAAATATCCCAATAACTCAACCAGACTGTTTACTTATCAGCTTCTCTTGTTTGAAGATCAGCAGTAAACAAAGGCAGAGTGAAGAATTTGCCACGTCGTGACTGAAGGAAAAAAAAAAACCTGCAAGGAGATCAGCTCAGCAGCAGATATTCCACATTTGTGGAACCCACAGGCTTTGGGGGATCTTTGTCACAATTCCAGAAGAACAAATAGCACTGCCACACATCCATAATTGTGTCCCCTGGAATCTGGCAGCAGCTGTGGTGTAGATGGCTCAGCTTCCTCCTGGGATCCGTTTCATCACTTCATTCTCACGAGATCAGTGGTGAGTCTGCAGTGCTGGTGTGATCCTTGCTGTGCACACTGTGAGCTTGTGTCTGCTGCCTTGCTCAGGATTTTTGCTTTCTCATTGTTTAATACATCCAGGAAGAACACACAGTCATTTGTATGATAATTAAATATTGCTGGCTTAAAAAAAGTGAGGTATTTTGCTGGGAAACCCAGACAAACCCTTACTAGTCAAGCATGCTAGAGAATAAAGCCTTTTGTCCTTTTCTGTGCAAGGTATGTGTTTGAGAGAATAAATTGCATTTTCAGGATCCTGGGTGGGAGGAGTGCTGAAGATTAGCTTTCTTTTCTTAGCCAGAAGTGTCTTTTCTCCCCAATAATTTGAAGTGTGATACAGACTTATACAATTACAGTTTTAGTTCTTGCTACTGCAGTAGTAAAAAAAAATAAAAAAAACCAGCAAATCCCCCCAG